CTCCCAGAATATCCTGGGTAGCTCGGGACCCTCAGGAATCACAGAGTCCGGCTCCTGGCCCTGCACAGGACACCCCAAGGGTCACACCATGTGTCTGAGGGTGTCCAAACATATTGAACTCTGTCGGGCTGGGTGCTGTGACCACTGCCCTGGGGAGCTGTTCCAGTGCCCAAGCACCCTCTGGGTGAAAAACTTTTTTCCGAGACCCCACCTAAACCTCGCCCAGCTCAGCTTCATGCCCCCCGGAACGGTGGGAGTTTTATTCAAAGTTTGCCGTTTTGGTGCAGGTTGTGCCCGGTTTCCTGTGTGGAAGTGGGGAAAGGGACTTGGGCAGAGGCGCTTCAGCCTGTCCATGCTGCCTGCAGGGCCAGGGGGCTGCAGGGGGCATCAGTAACTCACCCCTGCTCTAGCCTTTGCTGCCAAGGATGCCGTGGTTTGCATCACATACTCCTGCCTGTGGGATTGCTCCTTTGGTGTGCTTCTAACTCTTTGTAAGCAATCCTATTCAGTTTCTATTCAAATGCTTGACTATGGAAATTTTTTGTATTAGGCTTTTCTGAGGGATATAACTGAGTATCTCTCTCTTTCTTTTAATACAGGAGCTGCTCAGGGTGATGAGGACAATCGATGATAGAATTGTTCATGAGTTAAACACTACGATTCCAACAGCTTCCTTTGTGGGGAAAGTTGATCCTGGCCAGACGTGTAAAGAGCTGTACGAGTCTGTGAGTGTGCTCACCTTCACTTTCAGCTCCCTTCCCCCTGCTTTGTCGTGTGCAGTGGCCACTAAAACATCCTCAGGGTCTGAGGAAACACTGCCTTGGTAGATCCTGCTTTGTGCATTCCTGACTGTCCCGCTCAACATCTCCGCACACTGCTTCAGTTTAAAACCATGCAAGGAAGTTCTTTGTTCTGAAATACTGATCCTTCAAGGATCTTTTAAAAAGGGTTCTTGCTTTTCCTGCTGCTCTGCAAGACTCCTCATGTTTGCCTTCGACTTTTGATCAGCTTGGTGAGAGGAAGAATGATAGGATAGTCTAAGTTGAGAGTAGCTGCTGCTCAAAGCAGTGTTGTTTCCCACAATGTGGATTATGAATTCAAAGGGATTTCTGTAGGCACAGCAATACCATGACTTTAGAAAGTGTCTCTTTAAACTTACAACTAGGAGGTTTTTATTCTCTGATGAGTCACTGTGACTTTCCTTTTCTCCCCACTTAGTTGATGGATGCTCACACCAAGAGAGAAAGAATCATCAAAGACTGCATCTCTCAGACTTCCGCTGTAGTGAAAACCCTCAAAGAAGAGAGGGAAAAGGCCCATGAAGATGCAGCATTATTAAAGCAACTCAGGAAAGAGCAGACAAAGGTGAGTGGTGGGTGCAGCCTTTGAGAGATCACTTATAGAGGAAGAAGTGGGTATCTTTCCCAAATGGAAGGACCAATGTGATGGAGAGAACCTGAAGTAGATCCTGAGTCAAGCAGTTTTTTCCAAGGTTCTCGTTGGCCCTTGTTGGGTCTTGTCAGAATTATTTTCCCAAGATCTCCCCAAAGGCAGAGAGCTGCTTTTATCCTGCAACTGGAGCATTTCCGAGATTCTTTTACATGAATGCTGTAGAAAAGCACACATTCTTTCCCATGGTGGATTCTAACCTTCACTGACTGACACCACTGAGGCACAGCTTAACTTTTCCTACAAAATGCTTGTTCTCTACAAGATGCTCCCAGGAAACCTTGAATTCCACTTACACAACCTTTTTGCTGTTTGGTATTTCCAAATACTGGATTCTGGATATTGGATTAATATTTGGAGTACCTTGTCATGGTGTGTGAGAGAGACTTCTGGGTTTGCCTATGGAATTCTAATGTGCAAATGCCTTCTCAACCTTCTGGCCTGTGGATGGGAAGCACTTTAGCAGAGTGACCAGAGGAGATTGAGTATCACAAGTGGAGAAAGGAACCTCACTGAAGTTCTCACCTCACTTCCAGGGCCCCTTTTGTAAGGAAAAGGATACTGAGAGAACCATGTGGCAGACAAGCAGTTTTATTATTAAAGCCTCACTTACTGAACTGCTAACAAGCATGGATATTAGTTTGGAAAACTGGAGTGGTTGCTTAGTATTTTCTACAAATTTTGTTAGCAGAGCCAGTTCTTTAAATCATTTAGTTACTGAGCCTGAAATCTCCCACTGAAAACACTGGGAGGATCACAATTAAAATGTGTAATGATTGGAGGTGGCTTCAACTGTTAAAAGCATTCCATGACTTAGAAACGTTTCAGAATTTTTTTATGAGATCACCTCAGATTTGTACTTGGACCATATGAGGTGTGATCCCCCTGTTTTTTGGGTTGCTTTTTTTTTTGGCTCTCTAAAACACAGAGAGTTATGTTTTTTTCTACAAGTCAGAAAAGCTATCTTGACAGAACACATCCTAGTTTTAAGAGTAGGAATTTCAAATATCTCTTCACTTGCTTGCACTACAGATCTCTTTTCCCTTGTTCTGTGTTTCTCTCATCCTTCTAGTGGTAAAACTTGGAGGAGTTTGTGCAAAATTATTACTTCTAGGTCACTGAATGAGAAAACTTGGAGCAGTAGTTTCTTTGAACTACTAAAGATCCTCTGAGTGTTTATTTTATAGAGACTTATCCATAAAATGGATAAGTCACTCTGGATGCTGGATTGTTATTTCAAACAGATTGAAGTCCTGTTGATTTGGGAGAAGTGCATCCAACAGCTGTAGCAACTCTGTGTCCCTGGATATCTTACTTGGAAGGTTTTTAGTGGGATTGTTGTCTTGGCTTGCACCTGTTCACCAGGCCTCTAATTGGAACCATGTATTGAAAATGGATAAACTCTGACTCTTTGTCTGTTGTGTTGAAGACTCCAACAAGAATACATCTTAATTTGACCAAAATGGCAGATGGTTCTTAAATCTCCTACTATTGCCTGAGGACCAAATTACCCAAACACAGCTGTCACGCCTGGCCCTTGGGGTTAATAATAGCTGTGAAACAAAGAGATTCTTGCCCTTCTCACAGGTCAAGAACTGTGTATTGGTGGTAGTTCTTGCCAGAGCTTTTGCATCTGTGTAGAGCTGGTTTGTCCTGCAGTGGTGACATGAAATATTAAGTGGTTCAGACAGCATAAACAACACATGATCAGACTGCAGACCCTTTTTGGTCAGTGCACTGAGTAGGTAGCAAATGAAGCAGAGAGGGTCTGTTCATAACCTTAGTTTTAAATCCAGAATCCTAGCTGGATTCCTAGTTTTGATGCCAGCTTCATATATGACTCCAATAATGCAAGAGTGGCAACTCAAGGCTGCAGAGCCAACCCCAGCCCTGGCATTCCCTGTGCTCAGTGCTTGCATTAGGTGCAGTTATTTGTGCCTGTGAAGCCATCAGTGTTAATCAGTTAATTGCTAGCAAATCTGGATGGGCATTATTTAGGAATAGAGCATAAGGAATGAGGATCTACTGCCAGGCTTGCTTTGTGAGTGTGCCTTCCCTGTGCCCTTGCAGACCTGTGTGTGCCCTGAGCACTGGCTGGCTGGAAGGGCTGGGCTCCCAGGGTGATTACACATCGTGCCCTTTGGTTTGCACCATCCCAGGAGGTGTGCACCTGCTGCTGGGGTTGGGAGCTGGAAAGTTGCACTTGTAATAAATACTGAAGGCTGCAGGGAGACCTGTTTGACAATAACCCTTGTGTCTGTTATTTTCTGCAGTTGAAATTGATGCAGTCGGAGCTCAATGTTGAAGAAGTGGTAAACGACAGAAGCTGGAAGGTACTCAGTCATTTAATAGTGATGATGTTCTGTCCCAACAGGCAGTCCTGCACTGGAGGGTGGGACTGGTGCCTTGTGAAGAAACTTAACTAGAAGTAGATGAGGGCACTGCTGGGGGAAATGCTTCAAGTCAGTCATTTTCCCAGTTCTGGATGCAGAGATCAAAGCTTTTCAGCTGCACTGCCAGGGGAAGAAAAGCATCTGATTTAGCATGGAGGAAGCACTGTGGATTGTTCCCTGTGTCCCTTTTTCCTCCTTGCCAGTGGCTGAGCACTTTGTAGGCTTTTCTGTGGTGACTTCTCTGAAAAGCTTTTCAGGGCCTCTTAACAATGTCAGAGAGAGGGGTCTTTCACATTTGCCTGCATCTGGCGCTGATCACAACTCAGCAGAGCCCAGGGAGGGGTGAGGCTGTAGAAGTTGAGCCTTTTCCTGGTGGGGTTTCTTCAGGCCTGAGCAGGCACTCCCTGGTGCAAAGGGCAGCCTTGCTGTTGCTCTCCTGTGTCAGCAGAGGGTGCAGATCACCCTCTGGACTGATGGCCCCGAGTCTGTCTGGTGATTTTAACACTGAGCTTAAGTTCTGAGGTGGTTGTATTGTGTCACTGCAGCATTTCACATCTGGCATCACCAGATGCTTTTCTCGTTTGATGAAGCTTTTCAGAGCTTTCAGTACTGCAGAGAACCTCTCTCCCCCTCTAAATGAAAAAAGGAATTTTGCAAATAGCTAGTACTAGCTGCACCTTCCTTTGTGATCCCTACTTCATGATTTTAGCCCCTAGATTGCACCAGTGTAAAACCAATGCAGCTTTATGTCCAGGGTGTTCATCAGTAACCTCAGTGCAGGCTGATGAAATGAGCATTTACACAGTTTCCTGTGTATGCTTTGCCATCAGCACACCTCTGTACTGTCCCAAAAAAGCAATGCATGCACTTCAGTTTAATTTTAAACCCACTCAGATCTGACTAATCAATGCCACAGCCTTAGCAGCAACAGCCTGCAGGTCACCAGGGGCAAATATTTTACAGCTACTCTGCTGTAGGGGAACAGCCCGCACCCTAATCTTCATTCTGAAGCACCAGGTTTAGTAATGATCCCAGGGGTTTCTTGTAGCTGCATTAAGCTTTTACTGGTGGCAGAACTGTCTAATTTTTTCTGAAGATGGAGAGTTTATAAGGAGTGAGGTATGCATGGTGCAGGGGTACTTTAGCCTGCTAGTGTATTCCTCAGCCAATGTTCAGAGTGGAGCTTGAAGAGATAAATGTTTCTGGGTTTTATCTCCAGCTCTGCTGTACTGTGCTCTGAATCTACACAAAAATGTCTCCTTTAGCTGCCTGTCAAAATGTCAATTAGAGCCAGTCATGGTTGCAGACTGAATGCAATTTGTTACATGGGAGTGAGTATTGGTGTGCAGGCTGGTGTTTCACAGTTGTAGACTTCTGGTTGGGAAGTACATTTGTGTATTTCCATTAATCCTGAACAACTGAAAACTAATTGGAAAAATCTGATTAGGAAACAGATTTTTAAATACTGGCTGACTGTAGCAATAGTGGCATACAGAAGGATGCTACTTTAGAGAAATGCACGTGCAATTTTGATGATACCAAACAAGGAATTGACTTTCAAACAAGACACTTGCATTAGTCTCTGTCCAGCACTTCCAGACTGGACTTTATTGCTGGAGTGGTTTGTACAAATATGTAAAAGCCAGCAAAATTAAACTTTTGCCTAGTAACATGAATTTAACGTTTCTCAGCCATTGCTTTTCCTGAAAAATGTCTGAAAATGAGAACAGCACTTCACAGGTAGACCAATGGATTTAAGTGGCCCGAGTAACACCCTGAGATCTGTGAGCCAATGATCCTAAAAGTAGGAGGTGTTAGTAAGTGTTAGTAAGACTGCAGTGTTGATCTTCCTGCCACAGGTTGTGGAGTTACTGTTGAAGATACTTTGAAAGTTAACATGATAGAAAGCAAGCTGGTGTGTTGTTTGATGCTATAGACCCTTGCAGTGCTTTAGAGAGTATTTCCAGCACTCTTTTAGACATACATGCCATTAAAATGTCATTAACAGACAATGGACAAAAAACGGTTCGATTTGTTTAGTGTAAAATGTTTCTGAATTGGACTTGATGCTGTTGCTCTTAATTTCTACAGTTTCCTCCTATCACTGATCTCAAACCTTTACCTCATCTGAACTCTTCCAGAGGTGTCCATTCCATGTGGTAACATAATGGCTGCACATTTCTGTGTGTGAAAGAAACTATATCACAGCTTTTGTCTTCTGCAGTATGAGGCAGTTTGAAATCCATGTCTATTGTTTAAAATAAAATTTGAAAGGTAGTTGAAAATTGCTCCAAAATTGTTGAGAAGCAATGCTGTAACTAATGCGTGCTCCAGGCTTCACTTTTGCTGAAGTTGCCATAGGTTCTGACCTATGAGTAAGATCTGCTGTTGCAAATTGTAGGAAGATAGAGCTTGAAACTGTGTATTTATATAAAGTGTTGGATAACTTCCCCAAAATTACAAGATCACTCACTTTGCACATAAAGCCCATGGGAGAGTTCATGAAACTTCATATCCTGATGATCACAGACACTTGGATCTGCCAAATCCCTGTCCCACAAAATATGCTCTTGTGGGAATGCTGGTGGGACAACCAACACCTGCCAGAGCCTCAGCTTGGTGTCAGGTGATGGTTGTGTTGCTTTCAGGACTTGTGCTGGACAAGTTGGGATAAAAAATGATAAATAACTAAATGGCTTGTGAAGAGCACTTGCAGCCTTGGTGGGAGCCTGTGTGTTTTGCTTTGCATTCAGGCTGCCTTACTTTAAATAGTCACGTTTCTTGGCCCTCCTTAGGGCAGGCTGGCGGCAGTTCAAGCTAAATATACACCATCCTCAGTATCCAGTTCTGGAGGCTAAATTTTACCCAGAGAAGGTGCCAGAGGTGAGTGAGGCAGGAGTGCTGTGCCCTTTGCAGGAAGTGCTGGCAGCACTGGAAGTGTGCATGTGGCTTTCAGGAGCCCTTGCCCCTCTTGTTTGCTATCATGCCAATGTAAAATGTGCCTGCTCAGGAAAGACAGGAATACAGCACCCCGATTTGAATGCCAGAATGAACCCAACAGAACACAGCCATTCAGGAGCCTTCCCATGATTATTTCCCTCTCTTTTAAAAACAAAAAGGCATCAGCATTTTTGATGATAACAGCCTACCAGGATTAAGAGTCTGCATTTTCTGAGGGAGAACACTTAGTGCTGTGCAGTCTCCCAACATCAGGCTGCAAACTTTGGATTTACTAAAGCCAGGAGTGAAGGTGAATGGAGATGGATGTCTTGGTAAGTATCATTTATTGACACCTCAGAGCTGGGCAGCTTGAGATGGGTGCCCAGGTAGTTGAGGTAGTTGCCTGAACTGTGAAGTTCTGCTCATTTCCTGGATGGGGTTGATTCACTTTTGCTCTTCTGTTTTGGTGTCTCAGGTATTTAATGAGCGGTGCCGAATTCACTACAAGCCTCCGAAGAGTCAATGATGATGTGGGGCATTTTCCATCAAGGTGGTCCATAACTGTGAGAGCCAAACTGGAAAGAGACCTTGGGTGAGCTGAATTGGGACCCTCCAGAACCAGTAGAACCCAGTCTTGTTTTGTTTTGGACCTACTTAGCTGAATTCTCAAGCTTGAAATGATCCTCCTGTAATTAAGAGAAAACAACTAATCTTTTGTACAAAATATGTGAACAAATGAGTTTTATAGTATTAAAACAATTTTCAATCGGAATGCAAAACTGGCATCTTTCTTGAACTTCCACAGCTTCAGTGATCCCAGAGGGGAAGAAAGAGTAAAACCTATCCTGAGCAGGGAGGAGAAGGCTCTCCCTGAGCTGGTGCCTGCTAAAATATCAGTGAACATGGTCTTTTAGTGGAAATAACCTGCTGAAGTCTGAAAGGAAATAAAGATTGCAGACTGATCAGCAAGTGTAGTAGGTTCAGCATCTCTGAAAGTAAGAAGTTACCAGCCTTGTTCTGAACTGCTCAACACAAGCAGTAGTGGCTCAGAGCTGTGTGTCCTACAGGTTTGCCATTGCTGCTGCAGTGCTGACAGGCAGCAGCTGTTGCTTTCTGCCCTTTGGTCTGTGTTTCCAAGTTCCAGAGTTTTCCTTGATATAGGGGATGTGGTGTTGATTTAAACCACTTTGGGTTGGAGCTGAAGATGTGTCTCATTTGGGAATGAGACTGTCCAGGGACCTTTTTTTGTCTCTTCCTCTGAATATTGAAGAGTAGTTCTAAAGGTGAATTGTGTTTGAGCTGAGGAAACAGCTGTGCATACGTGATCCTGCTGATCCTGGCCATGGTGTTGTGTTTAGAAAGCTTGAATGCAGCACCCCTGCAGTAACACAGCATTTAAAGGCAGATGAGTAGGAGGAAAGCTGAATGGCTGCAATTATACCTGTATATTTTACTATTTACTTTTTATTTTGTATTTATCCCAGATGGGCTGACAAGTCTATCAAGTGATGAGGTCTGTGTGGTTGCCAGATGATATGATCTTAAGAACCACTGAACTTAAACAGAGCACTAAAAATACAGTTCCTGTCTTGCAAACACTTTGGAATTCAGCAACAACAATGAAATTACTGGATATACTCTCCCATCCCTAAAGCTTTGAATATATAGGGAATGGGAAATAAATGAAGGAATGTACCTGTGTTACTGAGAGCTGGCAAAGATCTGTGCAGCAGCATCTGTTTTATAGTTGTTGGTGCAGCAAAGACTCAAACTGCTTGAAGGCCTTTTATTTTTAGGCACCAGGGTCATTTCGTCTCACTTTTTTTTTGAGAATGAGGTAGAAATATATTTTAAGTCTTTGATGATAGAAATCCTAATGTTCAAACTTCATTTTTCCCCTCTTTTTTTTCTCAAGGTACTGCAACTGCTTTATGCAGAACTTTGAGTTGGAGCACTTATTCTTGAAGATTTCTCATTGTTTTTCTGCAACTCTGAAAGCAGAAAATGTGTTTGTTCTTCAGTTGTTAAATTCTTGTAATTGTTTATCATCAAAGGGTAAATCAAATACTTCTCATCAATCTGGGCTTAATTGGCACTAATGAAATTTCAACAGGAGATGATTATCAATTAATGAGATGTTGAGAACAGTAAGTTTTGATTTCAAAGTTGGTACTTTATTATTGACTTCTAGTATAGGTGTCTAAAATATTTGTTCTCTCCTGGGCTTGGATCAACTGCTAGGACAAATTCTCCCTTTAAGCCATTTGTACAATAGAAACTGATACGATTATATATAGACTTGGATCAATAGTCTTGAAATATAATTTTTTATTTCTGTATAAAGTAGAGACTGTAATGAGAATTAATAATTTTCTTCCTTTATCCATCCAGATGTTTGCTCAGCTGTTGTGGAAAGCTTCTTCACTTAAGCAGATGCTGTGATAAATGACCTGTGAAATGGATGTCATATGCAGATAGTTTTTTTTGCATTACTTATGAGGAAACTATGTTAAAAAAGCCCAAAACCCACAACCCCAAAAAATCAGCCCTACATAGAATTGTTTTCAGTTTGAATATAAGGCCAAACAAGTAGTCCTATACAAACCTGAGTATGGAAAATGGATACCTTGAGAAGACTCCTAAGCCCCCAGCATCCCTTCTTGGGGTGTTTGCATACAGAGGGTTGCAGTAAGATGTTGAGTTGCTTGATTTGGTTTGCTCTGAGCACAGAGGGTCTCTCACAGTAGTCCCCAGCCAGGCAGGTGGCTCAGAGGCCGTTGAGGTTGCTGTTGAACTCGCTGGAGCGCACGGTGAGTAAATGGAATTGCATGCCACGCTTGGGGCGCGGGGCAGGAGCACACGGCTCTGCTCTTCCTGGGAGCCTCAGAGTGTGTGGAGTGGGGTGTGCAAATGGCATCAGTGGGAACTGTGTGCCACACTGGACACAGGCAGGTAAATTCTCTGTCTAGGCACCCCTGAGGATTCCAGGATGGTGTTCGGTCAGGGATTGAACCTTGCTTCAAGGTTACCATTGAAGTAGTTACAAAATTACTGGGCTGTTTGCTGTCATATGGGGATCAAATAGTAGACCCTACAAACTGCAGAATTTCATCCTTTCCCTGGTTTTAGCTTCTATTTCTGCAAGTAAGGGCATTTGGGCACAGCTGATGGCTGTGTCCAGAGTCCTGTGGGTGCCTTGCCTCCTCTCCTGGGGCTTTCCCATTACTTGCAAGTGGTGAATAGATGTGGGTGGATCCTACATGCTTGGAAAGTCCTCTCAAGCTTGTGCATCTTTCCTTCTGTGAAATAGAAAGAGGTGTTGTTTGAACTTTTTCTAGCATTCAGTGCTGTTGTCTTCTGCAGCCTGTAGGCATGAAAGACTGATGAAACAGGTAGTTTCTTTATAGAATATTTTGAACAGTAGGTTTCAGTTGTCTTGAAGCAGACTGAGAGGAAGAGGCTCAGCATAGGCTGGACCATGATAACTTTGTGCTGCTGAAGGTCAGGTTTCTGTTGATCTTTTTTCGTGTACAGTGTCAGAAATCTTTCAAAATCAGGATGGGTAGCAGGAGGGGAAACCTTTTTTGCAGACCAGCACGTTGAAAATCAAGGCTGTTCCTGTGACAATAAGAACAGATCTTCAGCTGGTACATGGAGGGCTGCTTTCCTCTAGAAGCTCTTAAAGACATTCAGACCATGTGTCATGTCCAGCCACAGTTCCATGTCACTGTGAAACCAGAAGACTGACCTTACTGACTTGGCTTTCACAATCATTTCTACAGAGCTGACTTAATTCCTGGTTTAAAAATGACTTGTAAATACACAACCCTGGGGTTTGGATTTTGGTGGAGGTTATTATGTTTGCTTTTTTTGTACTGGTGTTTTTATCAAAAATAGCTTGGCACTCTTAAAATTGCTTAAACAGGACCAGGGAGTAGTGGCCTGCAAGTGGCAAAGATCTGTTTCTTCTGTGTTGGAATAGTACACGGTGCAAGATGTTACTCAGCTTCAAACCTGTACAGAATGGCAGTGGTGGTGTTTCAGCAGGTTCTCCAAGATAACAGCAGCACAATGATGTGAGGGGAAGCTGCCAGTTGTGCTGATGGAAAGCGTGAACTGGCCTGGGACGTGATAGCAGCCACGGCTCAATCACCACAGGGGGCACACTCACCTTGTTGTGCAAGAGACAGCGTGGGGGTGGCTGTTCTAGTCAAGGCAGTGTTCCAAATCCTGGTTCATTACATCCAAAACTTAGTGCAGAGGGGGGTGGGTGGAGGTGGGGGTTGCCCCAGATAAGGTTGGTCAATTGCCTCTGGTCATCTTTGATCACAGGTCTGTGAAATGTCAGCACTTCAAAGTGGTTTCATGAAATACTTGTGCAGGATGAGTACTGCATCCCAGACTTAGAAATATCACTGGATTTTGGGACAGCCATTAGCACTGCCGTGGAAAGAAAACAGTCTGATTTGCCTCTGTGAACTTCAGCATCAACTTGCTGATAATTAGTCCTAATTTTTTCTTTCCCTTCTGCACAATTGTGCATTCTGGGGGAAAAAAAAGTTCTTATGCTTTAAAGTGAAAAACCAGCAAGCCCAGAAATACGGAGTCCAGTGAATGATTTCCATGCAACATTAATATCTTTAGTTTCACACCTAAAGTTTTTCCAAGATTATAAATGAACCCTCCTAGACTTTGTGCTCAGTGTATTTGTTGTTAGACAGAATCAAGAGTTCTCCAGTAATGTACTGCTGCCCTGGGGAATCTTAACATCCCTTCCCAGGGAAGTTAGCAGGATCTGTATCCTGGTGAGTGGAGATGTTTATAAAATATCCTGTTTTAGCACTGGTGCTGTGCATTTGCTGGACACATTCTCTGATTTCTGGCCTCAGTAAGGTGAACTGGCTCTTCCAGTTCCTTAACTTATCTGTCCTGCTCTATGAATAAGGCACAGGTGGTGGAACATGATGAGCATTTGAGTGAATCAGCAGGGTCTTATGCCAAAGAAGGTTTGAGTTGTCATCAGCTCCATGAATAGGGCTCTGAGGAACTCCTCATCTGGAGGGAAGTTGGTGAAAGTGGCAGAGTTCCAGTTTTAACAGCTGTCACTCCCTATATTTCTGCGAACTGGAAGGATTTTTCTCTGTTCACAAAAATATTGTCTCAAGACAATGATTTTTCCTCAAATGCTTTTTGTCCACCTCCATAGCACTGCTGTTCAAGTCTGGAAAATTCTGCAATATCTTTTTCAGTAACATGCTGTAATACTAATCAATCCTGTGGAGTGTAGGGTCCCTGCAGCCCCAGTTTCTCAATCTCAGGGGCTGTATACCAAAACCAGGTCTTGAAGTCAGATCTGAAGTACTTTTTACAGTGTCTTGCATAATTTGTTATCTGTGAGGAGGAGGTTCAGTAGTATGGGTAGGACACAGATAAGTTTGTTGCTATGGCCATAAACCCACCTTTTCTAGCAAATTCCCTACTGCTGATCCCAGCAGGAATGCCCATTGCCTGTGTGCAGTATATATTCTCATTTCACCTGCTCCCATGTACCTTCCTCTACAGACTAAAAAGTGTCTGGTCTGTTTCTGCTTCTCTGGTCCTTGCTCTGGAACAACATTCCTCTTATTTCCTGGAGAGGGGAGTGGCAGAAATATTGACAGGGACTAATTTTTTTCTGTGGTTTTGAAGTGTTAGTTCTCCCTTACCAGGGAGGCTGCTAGCAGTTATTAGCCTTCCCCCAGCAGGATTTGAGCTTTGTACACTCACATTTGTGAGTGTGACTGTGCCGTGTGACTGTAACTGCAGAATCAATACTTCTGACTTTATGTTCTCAGGTGATCTGTTTAAACAGCATACATTGAAATTGGGACAGCTTTTGTGTTTTTTCATTGTACTTTGTCTTCCAGGAAATTGGCACTGGAGCTAAAAAGTAAATTTTATGGCACATTCAGTTGCTATTATGATTGCTTGAATGCAGCTCTTGGTTTGATGGGAAAGAAGCAGAAATGCCTTATTTGCAGTAGTTACTTGAATTTGGGATTGAATTATTTTCTACTTCTGATGCTGGTGTTTACCTTGGCACCTTTTTGGTCAGGCAGAGGAAAGCCAAGTCACTGAGTGTAAGATGCTATCTGCTCTGGTTTCCCCACTTAAAAGGATGTTGAGAGAATAAAATTTCAAGTTAAACGGGACCTACGCTAAGGGAAGTGCTGCATCCTTTCTACTGATCAGTAAAGGTGTTGGGAAATACTGGGTGTGTCTTTGAGCTCAGCCTAGTCATCTGCACATGGGTGGGGAGAGAAGAGGTTCCAGCTGCAGCCCAAACCAACTCTCTTTAAGCTGAGGGTGACTGGAGGCTGATGTTTGCTTTTCTTTTGGATGTGAAGACCATAAGCACTACTTTAAGTGCTTTTTACATTTATTAATAATATTGCCAGTGCTTTACATTGCTTTTTCCCCCCTTTTCCCCATTTGTCTCCTCCAGTTCAGTAATGGTAGGCTCCGTGTGTTGCAGGTCACATGGTTCCATGACACATGTGTGTGTGTGTATATATGTGAGATGCCTGGGGACTCTGCTCAGACTGTGCTGAGCTTCCCTCTTCAGAGCTGCTCATCATTTCACAGAAGTCACCTGCCACCATGATGCCTGGGGGCTTATCTGACACCAAGCCAGCTACTCCAGAAGTTCAGCAGCTTGTTAACCAGGTGAGTTGCACCCTCTCTCTACATTAAGTTACTTGTGTGCAAAGAGGCCATTCCTGAAGCTTGTGTAAAGCCTGGGAGACTGAGCTGGGTTTCAAACTGAAGAGGCTCATGCTAAAAGTGGCAATCCCTGTGACTGGCAGTGTTTTCTCAGCAGTCTGTGTAGGAAATGCCTTGGTAAGACTGAGAAAAGCCACTTCTGTGTCTCCTCTTTGTCCATGGCATGGTACTGGCTACCTTCAGTTAATGTCTGTGTGAAGTTCCAGGCCCAGCTCTGCTATGCCAGCAGTGAGGTCACTTGTTTGAAATGAGAGGTGGCATACTGGAAGGGAAGAGGTTGTACTTAGTAGAGTTTATTCCTCAGTTAAGGACTGCATAGGACAAACCACATGCTAGTATGCAGTAAAGAATTGTGTACTCAGGACAAAGCTTTTAAATTGTGTGTTCCTTGCTGGCATTAGGTGTTTTCTAGAGTCACAACTGTGATACAGGGGCTGCTGGTGGGGCAAGATGAGCTTGGCACAAGGCAGGCCACTGAGTGAGCCCAGTTGCCAGGTGGTTGGTTACAGGCAGTGGTCCTGAACTGGAGCAGCTGTGTGAGCAGCAGTGCAGCAGCTCTTTTTAAAGAAAGTATAAAATGCATCCTGAGGAATGAAAGGGGTTCCCACCCAACCAATCTCCTCCACCCTTCTGCCTCTGAAAGATGAGCTCTTGTCCCTTTGGCAATTGCACTCGGGCACTCTTTGAGGAAGCAAAAATAGGAAGTAGCAGGGCTGAATGCATTGGCCGATAGCAAAAATAGGAAGTAGCAGGGCTGAATGCATTGGCCGATACTGCAGCACACTTGCTATACCTGATGTGCAGGGTATCTCCTTTGCTGTGCCACTGAGGACAGAGTTTGCACCACCATCCTTCCATCCTTCCACATCTTCTGCGATCTTGCAACTGAGACCAGGCAGCCCAGTACTCTGACAGGGCTCTTTTCTATAGTCCACAGGCGGAGGGGATAACTTTAACATTCAGTTTACTGATTAGGAGACACTCCATGTTACAGGAGGTGTCTGATTTAGCAGAGTGATACAAATATGCTGGTAAATTGATACAGGTCTAAGTTACTCTTAGCAAAATGTAGTGACTGCAATCCCGATTCTCTGAGGATGCCAGGCTGTTCTGCACTCCTCTATCACCACACTGGGCATCCTCAGTGACTAGGAAGGGGGATGTGGGTTGAAGTCACCTCTAGCCAGCAGTTTTCTTCAAAATTCTTTTGCCCAGCCATTTAGTTTTTATACTCAGGGTTGGGCAGAGCCATGTGCTCACTCCCCCGTGCTGGTCTGGCTAACTCAGGGGTGTGTATCACTTTCTCTTACTGAACTCGGGGAGTTACACCAGCACATGACCCCCTCCACTGACAGAGTATTTATCAAAAGCACCCTGTGGTCAGCCTTTGTGTTGAGATAAGTCAGCTTATTTGCAAAGGCTGTGGTCAGTCACACCCTGCATTGTTCTCCAGGTGGAATGTCAGGCTCCGCAGCTCCTCTGAGCCTTCTTCCACCGTAGGGCTTTATTGGTCATTCACAGCTGGGCTCACCAGAGCTGGGGACATGTACATGAGGAAGGGCTGGAGTTTGGGGTAACAGGTCAGTCAGAGATGATTTACTGCAGAGCAGAAAAGAGAAATGGATGATTTGCAGTTGTTTGGGGGGCACTGACTGAGTTACTTGGAAGCAGTACCACTGTTTGTTCTATTTTGGCAGAAATGTTTGGAGGAGCAGCACTTGCAGAGATCAGAAATTCCCTTTTACCTATGGAGGGGAGAGCCTAGCAAGGGACTTGCTGCACCTTTGTGTATTTGCCATTCTTGTTTCCTCATGTTTAAGATGGGGCCAGCTGAGGGCTATGAAATTTAATTAATGAGTCTGTGAAATGCCTCAAGCACTATACCAGATACTGAGTTTCATTTTCAGTGCTGGGCTGTGTTATTTATGGGTCACCAGAAGTCCTGCAGTGTGTATTGGAGGTGAAACCACAGCACTTGGATGTCTGTGAGTGAACAGGCACTTGAAAATGTGAATGCTGGTTTCAGGCAATGCTAATGCTCCCAGAGTACAGGGCACACAGGGAATCTGAAATGTGGATAGTGCAAAGTTTCTGTTTGATTCCAGAAAAGGACTGATTCTAATTTTAGTGTTCTTTTGTTCTCAGTAGCTTCAGGAAAATGAAAACAGATTGTTCTTTGCTCTTTATTTTCTGCAAGGTGAAATTTCTGCCCTGTGCTGAGAGCAGGAGAGGGAATGCTTCCTGATCCTTTCCCCTTTTGCAGAGGCTTTGGTATAGTTCTCTAAGGAAAATATTTTTATGGAAACCTTATGTTGGGGAAATCTGCTACCCTTCCAGCATAAGTATCACCTTTTCATGAAGCAATTTGGGGGGCTTTTATGCTCTGCTGAGCAGAGAAGCAATTCCTATGATTTCAGTGAAGCTGTGAAGAGCGTTTGCAAAACTTGGGATGCTCAAGGTCTGTCTGCTTATGGGATTACATAATTATTTACTTATACCTGTGCCTTGTCTCTAGCCATCACTAGTGAGCTGAGAAATGTTATTTATTTGGTCTCCCTGTTTTACAGCTGTTGCCCAAAACCGAGGAATGTTTTGGGTTTAGGATGCTGTTAGATAAGAGCTTAGGAATGTTAATTTTTTCACCTGAGGATTAAGGAGCTGTTTGCCTTCATGATTTTACTGAAAGCTTAGTCTGTAAATGAGAAATGGGGGATATAGTGGCCAGAGGAGAGAGAGCAGAACTGGAGAGAAGTGGCTTTCTTTTGTTTTGTTCTGAGAGAGGAATATCCTGCACCAAAAGTTGCCACTTAGGAGAATTCTAGGAGACCCCTGCCCTGGTCAGCTGGAAGGTTGTTGGGAATTAAAATTTCTCTGGTTTGCCAGAGTTAGCAGCTCCTCAGCTGAAAGAGCAGTTGTCTGTTCCTGGGGATAGAAACCCTGTGGAAGCTACTCAGCAGAAGAGCAGGGTCAGAGATCATGAGGAAGCTGAACAGGATGATAATTTCTGGCTCTTTGGAAACGATCTGGATGTTCCTTGGGTGCTTTCTGTGACCTTCCTGCTTGGAAGGAATGTCATGGGAGTGGCAGCCAGCTGCAGATGCTTATACTGGGAAAGTTAATTAATTCAGTGGGTTGCTGTGAAACAGGTGGGTGGTGAGAAGCGCTGAGGTGCTGCTGGCCTGGCCCAGGGCAGCCTGAGCAGGCTGGCACTGACACCGACACTGCTCCTCTGCCCAAACTCAGAAATGCAGCCGGTCATCAGCGTGCCTGTCAGTGCAGAGGGGCACCGTGTCACCCAGCCTCTGCTGGTCTCTGCTTTCTGTGTGGTGGTCATGCAGCCATCATCAAATGGGAGAGTTATTATTTCTTGGAGAAGTAAGGAAGGCCAACAGCAAAACCAGTGCCTTGGACTTCTGGAGGGAAGGCTTTGGCCTGTCTGGCAGACTGGTTGAAAGAGTCCCTTGGGAGGCAGTCCTGAAGGGCAGAGAGATCCAGAAGGCTGGGCATTCTTCAAGAAAAAAATCCTAAAGGTGCAAGAGCAGGGTGTCCCCACGTACCAAAAGACAAGCTGGTGGGCAAGAAGACTGGCTGAACAGAGGGTTTTGGCTGGAACCCAGGGTAAAAAATAGAGTTTATGAGCTTTGGGGAGAAGATGGGGCAGGCAGTTCAGGAGGATTACAAAGGTATTGTGAGGTTATGCAGAAAGTCAGAAAGGCAAAAGCCCTGTTTGAACTTAACTCTGGTCACTGCCAAAAGCAATGACAAAAAGTGTTCTTATGGTTACATAAGCAACAAAATGAGGGCTAAGGAGAATCTCCATCATTTGCTGCATGTTGAGGAAATCATTGCTACAAAAAATACAGAAAAGGATGAGGTACTTAAAGCCTTTTTAATCTCAATCATTAATAGTCAGACCAGTTTTTCTACCAGCTCCCTGAGCTGTAAGACAGAGACAAGGAACACAATGAAGCTCCCACAATCCAGCAGGAAACAGTGACCTGCTTCTCCACTTAAACATGTGTAAATCTGTGGGGCTGGATGGAATACACCTGAGGATACTGAGGAAGCTCATGGAAGAGCTCTCCAAGCCACTGTCCATGATTTACCAGTGGTCCTGGTGAACCAGGAAGGTCTCACACAACTGGAGTTTGGCTGATTTGATGCCCCTCTGAAAGAACATCTAAAAGAATGGTAGGAAGGAGGATCCAGGGAACTACAGAGCTGTCATGCTGACCTCAGAGCTAGGGAAGGTCAAGGAACAGCTCATCCTGAGTGCCATCACACAGCATGTGCAGGGCAACCAGGGATTGAAGCCCAGCCAGGATGGGTTCATGCAAGGCAGGTTCTGCTTGACCAACCTGATCTCTTTCCATGACCTGCCTAGTGGATGAGGGAAAGGCTGTGGATGTTGTTTCCCTCTGACTCCAGTTCCTGCAGCATTCTACTGAAGAAGCCTGGACAGGTGCACTGCTCACTGGGTGAAAAAACTGGCTGGATGGTTGGGCCCAGGGAGAGGTGGTTACATCTGGCTGCTCAGAGGTGGTGCACCCAGGGCTCAGTGTTGGGGCCAGTTCTGGTTAATATCTTTACTGATGATTTGGACAAAGGGTTTGAGGGCGCCCTCAGTCACTTTGAGGAGTTTCATTAAGGGAGTATGTGTGGAAGGATGAAAACTGGAGTGGTATATGTGAAACAAATCCCTAAGTGTCTACCTGCCAATCATTTTTCCCTTTCTTTTTGCAGGTGAAGCCACAGTTTGAAAGCCGGGCAGGCATGAACTGTGGTGTCTTTACAGCCATAGTATATAAGACTCAAGTGGTTGCTGGGACAATGTACTTTATTAAGGTTTGTATATATTGTAGGAGGGAGTGTTTTGGAATTAAATGATACAGGTGACTTGCAGAGTGGCTTACAGCCAGAAAGAGAAGCAAACATCATAGAAAACTGTCTGATGTGAGTAACAGAAGTGGGGACTACCTCCAAATGCTTATAAAATTCCTCTGTTTGGCACTACTGTAAGCAGGAATATAAATATTATAAAGTAGGAATATAAATATTAAAAACATGCCCTATACTTATTCAGATGTGATTGGTAAGCTTCTTGGGATTATCCCCCTCAAGGACTATAGATTGCCTTCCCAACTCAAATTATTTCAACAAGTCATAACTGGTTTCCTGTTTCCTTTCAAGGCAAAATAGTATCTGATCATTCACTTGTGTTTGTTGGGGTGAAGTTGAAGTCAGCTTGAGGAACTGGGGAGAGAGAGTGAATTTTGAAATGCAGTGCACACATGTCTGCTGGCTAGTTTTGCATGCAGGCAGCTGTGTTGATGTTTTGGTTTTTGATGTGTCAGGTGCTGCAGAGGTACACAGCCTGCCTGCTGGTTCTTTCTGTATTTTCAAAAGCACCCCTGCTGCTGCAGAGGAAAAGTGGGTAATGCTTAATTTGGAACCCTGTGATAGCACCATTCCTCCTCTACTGGAAGCCCTGCCCAATGGATGTGAGCAGCTTTCTGTGAAGTAGCACAGCAGAAATGTCTGGGTGTGTTTTTCATCTGAAGGCCAGCAAGCACTGCTGAGCAGCAGGCTGCCCTTGTGGAGCAGAGCAGGCATGGCCTGGGACACGTGCCTGACAGGGTATGCTATATTCCAAGGGAACTGGAATAATTCTTTTATTAGAGGAATTGGCCTGTAATGTTTGGTGGAGGGTAATTCTGCAGAGAGACACTTTGAGCATTAGCTCCACACTTCTCATATTTAGTTGATCCCAGGAAGGACAGATCCTGCCAAACCTTCTTCTTTCCCAGGTGCTTCCTTAAAAGAACTCTTAACTCAGAAACGAAGATTCTTGTATTACTGAACTTGGAAGAAATCCATTTGTAACACTGGACATGGCTGATTTGTCTCTTCTTTCCCAATTTTACCAGTGATGGAAAACATCACTGTTGGAATACACCCTCATTTTAGCATTAACTGGAACAAATTCATTCTTTTACATTTCTGAATCTTCCACCTCACTGACATTTTACCAGCAGACTTACAGCTGAGATGCAGCCCAGGCCAAGCATAGTGCCCCACTGCAGCCACCAGAAAGCATGTCAAAACCTCTTGGAGCCTAAGGCATTAAAGTTTCCATGTCCCTCACCAAGGGAGACTTTAGCACCCGTTGTGCTTGGCTCTTTAAGAATGAAATTTTACAGCTTCCTGCCAAGTCATTATGTGAGGACTTTCTGGGGGGGAAGGTGAATTTCTCTGGAAGAGTATTTATTCCAGGCATTCCCATGCACTCCCAAAAGCACCAGGATATGTCAGGTTCCCTGTTCAGGCACTGATGTGTTTGGATCTGCAGACCAGGGATCCTGGCTTTCAGGTTATCATTGCTTCTCAGGACCATGTGCTGGTGTTTCTGTATTAGATCTTTCTGTACCTTTGGGAGCTGACATGGTGTCTGCACTGTGTCCCACCCCCAAGTCATGGAGGTTTCCTCATTGTCCCTTGTCTCCTACGAGCGTGTCAGGAAGCTGTGGGCAAATGTGCTGGCATCCTGGTGACTGAAATAGGACACCATCAAAACTTTTCTCCTGTTGCATCTTCTGGTGCTTCCACACCCAAGCAGTTCTGCTCATTTTCCCTTCACCTGAGGTTGAGGGTCTTTAATGTAGTTTTCTACAGGTGTAGACAGTTTCTGCCACCACTTACTATCCAGACTTGGATAAGAGCTGTTGAAGTAAAAATGAAGATGCATCTAAAATTAAGATCCTGAGAAAAGATGTTATTTCAAGAATGTAAAGAACAGCCTTTTGTTTGAATCTGCTTTGAGCCCATGATCCTTACTTACCTGCTCTTTTGGTTTCCAGGTCCAAGTTTCCAATTCCGAATATGTCCACTTAAAGGTGTTTCAGAGTCTTCCTCATGAGAACCTGGGTCCCAGCCTTGTCAGCTTTGAGACTGGCAAAACCAGAGATGACCCTCTGACCTACTTCTAAGACACAATGTGTTGCAGTGCCTCACCTCTGCAAATCCTAAGGGGATTCTGCCCATGACAGTGAATAAAAGAAGTTTGGAAAGCTATTGTCCATACTTTCCTTTTGCTGCTGATATACCTGCAGAGGTCTTTCTTGTTACCTTTCATGTCTGCCACAAGACTAAAATATTTTAATTAAGATATAGAATAAACATAAAGTTATCTGGAATATAAAAAAAATTAAGGAAAAAAAGCTGAGCAAGATAATAATCAATAGTGAAAACCAGTGAAGAGAACACTAAAGCACCAGTCAAAGATGCCATCTCAAGTCAAAAGAAATGTTTATTGTTACAAATGCATTTGTCCAGCTCAAGTTCCTTTCCAGGACTTTTCCATAGGACTGAGAACACAAGCAAGCTGGTTTGGTATTTTAAACTCACACACCCTCTAGGGGACATTGCACGCTACTGCTGCAAGAGGATGAGCATGATTACCAAGGGAATGTTTGTTTCAAGCTACTGTAAGCCTCTTTCTCTTCCTTGCAAAATTGCTTCAGCTCAAGTCTCTCATCAGGTCATTGCCCATAAAATACAAAGTACAATTTAAATCTCCACATATATTTACAGTGGCAAAACAGCACAGAAAAGACTGAGGCTTTCCTCTTGTTCCTTGCTGCAAATATATGAATGCTGGTGTCATTCCCCTTCTGATTTCCAGACCAAGGAAGCCCACAAACAAGACTCAGCCACAGTATTCTCGTTTAGTTGCACTAAAGCCTAAGTTAAGTTGCAATAAAAGTAGGGTATACATTAGTGCAGGTAAAAGGAGAGCCCTGTGACTCTCAGGTATGGAGATTGCACAGGAAGGGAATGGCATAAAAGAAATTGATTTTTTACACCATGACTTTAAAAAAAAAAGACACTTTTTTCTGCCTTTGTTGGCGCAGGAATCAACATTTTGGAGCCTGTAGAAAATGCACATAAGAACCAGCCAGGGGAACACAGCAGAGAAGGTTGCTAGAAATAAGCCAGCTCATCGTGCTTTGTCTTGCTGCCCTGGTAACTGTGGAGGCTCAGCTGCTCATTCTCGTGGGGGAGGCTCTTGAACACCCTCAGGTGCACGAACTCCTCGTTCCCAACATGGACCTGCAAAGCACGAGACCCAGTGAGATCCCTGCAGGGGAGCACCCTGCAGCAGGAGGGGTGGCAGAGGCTGGGCTGGTTTGAGGATGGAGCAGCAGACAGGCAGTAAGAAAAAACATTGGTTTGTTTTAAACCGGACTAGGAGCTGTGACTTTCCAGAAATACCACCTAATTTCCCATGAAAATGAAGATAGGGAGGGGGCTGGGAGGTGGATATTTCTGGTTTTTTAATGCAGAATTCTTTTTCTTGTTAAGGTTAAATCATAAGCATTCTCCTCTAGTTAAGAAAGGAAAAAACCCACCATTCCAAAGATTATGCACATTCATATAAAAGAAACAACCCAGTGTCCTCTACCTTGATGAAGTAGTTTGTTCCAGCAACCAGCTGAGTTTTAAACTCCACTGCAGTGAAGACGTCAAAGGTTTTTCCTTCTTTTTCTTCTATCTGAGCTTTTACCTTAAGGAAACAATAGGTTCTTTAGGAATGATGCAAGATTCAAGTATTTAGGACTTCAGGCTTACAGTTCACTGCTGCTGAATTCCCCAACACAGAGTTCCTGCTTTTCCAAGACATTAAAAGATCCAAATGAATCATGTTAAGTTTTGTGTGAAAGCAGGACCAGGAATCTAGGGAGGTGGCAAAGCTGAGTCAGAGGTGGGAGTCAGTCACTACAGGCTGACACCAAGTCTGCAAAACACTTGGCAGTTCTTTCAGCATGTCTGCTGGAATCTGTGCTTTCAAACTGCAAAACAGTGTTCAAGAAGTCAAAATAACCTGTCCAGTACCCAAGAGGGAGCCATGAACTCCTGAGATGCAGCTCTTCTCTCCTGCACTGGGCACTCTAGCACATTGTGGCTATATGGAAAATTCTTGGTCAGGAAAGCAGAAAATTTCAGCCTTTGTTTTGCAGGGCAAGATGAGTTAGTCCTGAAGTCCTTGCTTGCAAAGTCCTTGCCTGCTCCAGGCTGCACCTCCTGCACTGCATCATTGCACAGCCCTCCCTTCACTCCCAAGGCAGTAGTACCAGCAGTGAGCAGATCCTCCAGCTACATGGTGTACTTCTCCTTTTTCCTAAATTCAAGGAAAATAGATAGATCTGCACTCCTCCCTAAATCCCACAGGCTTCCTTGGGGAAAAACAACTGCCAACTTGCTATTGCTCAGGTGCTGTAGGTGAAGCAGGAACAGAAGAACCATTCCTGCAACAGAGTTATGCTCTCCCACCTCTCCAGCTCCCAGAACTCTGGTGCCTTTTCAGTGACCATCCTGTCCCTGTGTCCATGCTTTTTACCTTCTCTCAGAGGCCATACCTCTACACTCCTTCCAGGTTATCATCAGTATGTCACAAGCAAGATAATGATGTTTGGACACTTTCCTGTTTGTTTTTTGCCATAGAGAAATCCAAGCTGGATTCTGAGATGCACTGAAGGGCACAGCCCCAGAAAGCGCCATGATTCAGTCCTGCCTCCTCCCCTTCCCCTGAGTCAGAGGTTGGAGCAAGTGGCTTCAGTTTTCATCACACTTTTACAAATTTTAAGCAGCAGGGCAGACATAAGTCTCCCACTGACCCTTTCCTGTCCTGTGCTCCTTTAGCAATCCTAGGCAGCTTTGGTTTCTGAGGTCACTAAATCATCCCAGCTCAGCAATTTTGTATTTCCAGCAGCGAGCTGAACACGGGGCCCTGGGTGCAGAGAGCTCAGAGTCCTGCAGCTGGAGGCCTGTCAGGGTGTTTGTGGCAGTGAGTCACCACAGCATGTGACAAACCAGCACCCTGAGTAAGTGTGGAGAGGGAGATCCCAGACAGACTCTCCCAAAGACCTGATCTCAGGCTGGATTTGGGAGTCCTGGAGGACAGGAGCCAGCACTGTGTCCTGCTGGTACCAAAGTTAATGGCACATGGCTGCATCAGCAGGAGCCTAGCCAGAAGGCAGGCGAGTGATTATTGCCCTTTACTTGGCCTTTGTTAGAAAATGTGGAATCCTGTGCCCAGTTCTGGGCTCCCAGTGCAAGCCAGACACCAATAAACTGCAGTGAGCCCAGGGAAGGGTCACCAGGAGCACTCCATGAGCACACCACGATGGCTGGAGCACTTGTGCTGTGAGGAGAGAAAGAAAATGAGCTTGCTCAGCCCAGAGAAGAGACGAAGGCTTTGAAGAAAACTTTCCAGTACCTAGAAGAAGCCAGGGTCTTTCCAGGGATGAAACTTTCCAGATGCCAGAAGAATGAGACACAATGGTCATAAACTAAAACTGGAGGCTTAGACTGGATATAAAGAGAAATATATCCCCTGAGGACATTCCTGCAGTACAGCAGGAGAAACTGTGCAGTTTCCATGCTTGGAAGTTTTCAAAAACTGACAGGAGAAAGCTCTGAGCAGCCTGAGGATGCTGACCCTGGGCTCAGGCAGGAAGTGCAGTCCCTTCCCACCCAAACAACCCATGATTCAGTCACAGGGCTGGAAATGATCATGCTCTGAAGGCTCCCCACTGCCCTGCACGGCCTGTTTGCCCTGCACTCCCAGAGCAGTTAAAAGCAGATGGTTCACAATCACCCTGGATAAGCTCTGCCACAGTTACCAGTGAGGAGCCAAGGTCTGGGTGCAAATCCTGGTTGTGAGGAGGCTGTTCCTACGGGATTCCTAAGCCAGACATTGCCAAAGGAAGCCTTCCTGCCCCGTGTGACACTACACCCACTGCGGGTCACAAAACTGAACAACATTCGGCCATCACAAGGATTCTTACGAAACTGTAAAATGAAGGCAAGAACTGGAAAAGCAGGAACAGGGAATATATTTATGGCAAGCAAACTGGCAGGCTGTAATAAATCTCCACAAAGACCTGGCTTTAAGCAAACAAAATGATTTGAGAAGGCTACCTTGTTTAACAAAATTAATGTTTTCTCCAGCAGTGTCCAGATGAGGATATGAGTGCATGGGTAAGTTTCAAGTTTGGGTTTTCCCACCTGTTTTTAATTTAAGGAAGTAATCTAAACTGGCAGTCAAAACTCTAAAGTGTTTAGGTTATTTAAATGAAAACATGAGATATTTGGTTAATTCTGGTCACTTCTGGATCCAACAGATTCAGGACTTCAAACCTAATTTTAAGCCATGTTAATTGTATATCTGCATTACCTTTAACATGACATGTAGGCCTTTTCAGGTCAAAGCAATAATTATGACTCTCAGCAATTCTCAATCATGTGCTCATTACTGCAAACTCAGGCTGGTGCTTAGGAGATGCACATATCTCTCCCTTTTCCTAAAACACAGAATCCTCAGGCTGTACAAGCTAAATGTTCATTTCAGTGGCTGCTGTGCCTTTGGGAGCTCTGTACGTGTTTGGGAACTCCTCCTGCCTGGGGAACAATGACAAAGAGTGTCAGAAGCTGGAGCGCATCCTTCATCTTTGCTCTCCAGCTTACCACATCCTAGCCGACAAAGCCAAAAAGCAGAAGCAACTTGAGTTTCCATGACAAAAAGAAGAACATGTACTTTGAAAAAACTTCGTTGCACGACAGCATTTTTAGAATAAAAGCGTGTGGTCCAATAACGTGAGCGGTAATCTCAGGTACTGTAAGTGCCATCAGGATTTGGAGCTAGCTGTGGTTGGAGCTGAATTCTGTGTTGGGGAAAAGCAGAAGCAGCAAAGAAGCTATCTTGCTTTATTCCACGTTTCACCTCCTCAAAAAAAACTAACAAACCCCCCCTTCCCAGGCAAACAACAAAGAACCAAAACCCCACACGTAAGCACAAGGTTTAGATTCTGTAGGAAGCACAGGAGCTCGCTCCCCGAGCTCACGGCAAAGGCTCTGTGGGGTTTCCCCGCGCACCGCGGTCCCTCTGGAGTCAACAGGGCCACGCCAGGCGGGCACAGGGAAGGAGAGCTCCGGGAGCCGGCGACTGCTCCGTGCATTCCCCATTCCTCCCACCTTGTATACCGGGGGCGGTGTCTCGGCTCAGCCGCGCAG